TTCTTGACGTTAATTTTGTATCCTGCTTACTTTGCCAAATTTATTTAAGTCTAGTAGATTTTTGATGGAGTCTTTAGGGTTTTCTATGTATAATATCATGTCATCTGCAAATAATGACAGTTTCACTTCCTCCTTTTTCATTTGGATCCCTTTTATTTTTTCTTCCTGTCTGATTGCTGTGGCTAAGACTTCCAGTACTATGTTAAATAAGAGTGGCGATAGTGGATATCCCTGTTTTGTTCCTGTTCTTGAGGGAAATGCTTTTAGTTTTTGCCCATTGAGTATGAAGTTGGCTGTAGGTCTTTCATATATGGCCTTCATTATGTCGAGATATGATCTCTCTATTCCCAGATTGCTGAGCATTTTTATCAGAAATGGGTGCTGGATTTTGTTGAATGCTTTTTCAGCGTCTATTGATATGATCGTATGATTTTTATCGTTCATTTTGTTTATGTGGTGTATCACATTTATTGATTTGCGAATATTGTACCAGCTTTGCATCCCTGGGATGAATCCCACTTGGTCATGGTGAATACTTTTTTTGATGTATTGCTGGATTCGATTTGCTATTATTTTGTTTAGGATTTTGGCATCTATGTTCATCAGGGATATTTGCCCATAGTTTTCTTTCCTTGTAGTGTCTTTTCTGGTTTTGGAATTAGAATTAAGCTGGCCTCATAAAACGAGTTTGGAAGTCTTCCTTCTTCTTTAATTTTTTGAAATAGTTTGAGGAGAATGGGTGTTAGTTCTTTGAATGTTCAGTAAACGTCTCCCAAGAAGCCATTTGGGCCTGGGCTTTTGTTTGCTGGGAGTATTTTGATTACCTCTTCAGTTTCCTTAGTTGTTAGTGGTCTGTTCAAGTTTTCTATCTCTTCCTGGTCCAGTTTTGGGAGACTGTGTGTTTCTAGAATTTGTCCATTTCGCTTAGATTGTCAAATTTCTTGTCATATAATTGTTCATAATATTTGTTAACGAATTTGTATTTCTGTGGTATCAGTTGTTACTTCTCTTCGTTCATTTCTAATTTTGTGCATTTGGGTTGTCTCTCTTTGTTTCTTGGTGAGTCTAGCTAAGGGTTCATCAGTCTTGTTTGTCTTTTCGAAAAAACCAACTCTTTGTTTCATTGATCCTTGGAATTGTTTTTTTGGCCTCCATGTCATTTATTTCTGCTCTGATCTTTACTATTTCCTTCCTTCTACTTGCTCTGGGGTTTTCTTTCTGTTTGCTTTCTAATTCTTTAAGTTGTGAGGTTAGATTGTCTATTAGAAATTTTTCTTCTTTCTTGAGGTAGGCCTGTAGTGCTATGAACTTCCCTCTCAGAACTGCTTTAGCTGCATCCCATAGATTTTGTGTTGTGTGTTCATTTTCATTGGTTTGCGGGAACTTTTTAATTTCTTCCTTTATCTCCTTTGTTACCCATTCGTTGTTTAATAACATGCTATTTAGCCTCCATGTGTTCAAATGTCTTTGCATGTTTTTGTTGCAATTGATTTCTAGTTTTATGCCATTATGATCTGAGAAGATGCTTGATATGATTTCAATCTTCTTGAAGTTGTAGAGACTTAGTTTGTATCCTAACATGTGGTCTGTGTTTGATAATGTCCCATGTGCACTTGAGAAGAATGTGAATTCTGCAGTTTTGGGGTGTAATTCTCTGTAGATATCTATTAAATCCATTTGGTCTAGTGCTTCATTTAGAGTCTCTGTTTCTTTGCTAATTTTTTGTTAGAGGATCTATCAGTGATGTCAGTGGGGTGTTGAAGTCCCCTGCTATGATTGTATTGCTCTTGATTTCTCCTTTGAAGTCCTCCAGAAGAATTTTAATATATTTTGTTGCACCTGTATTGGGTGCATATATGTTTACTAAGGTTATATCTTCCTGTTGGATAGATCCTTTCAATATTATGTAATGGCCTTCCTTGTCTTTAGTTATGGCCATCATTTTGAAATCTATTTTATCAGATATGAGTATTGCTACCTCAGCTTTTTTTCCCTTTCCATTTGCTTGGAAGATTTTTTTCCATCCCTTCACTTTCAACCTGTGTGAGTCTTTTGTTGTGCGGTGGGTCTCTTGTAAACAACATATAGATGAGTCATGCTTTCTTATCCAATCAGCTACTCTGTGTCTTTTTATGGGAGCATTCAATCCATTTACATTTAAGGTGATTATTGGTATGTACTTATTTATTGCCATTTTTGTTTAGTGTAGTTCTATTTTTGTTCCTGTTTCTTCTGCTTATTATAGCAGTCCTTTTAACATTTCTTGTAGTGCTGGTTTGGTGCTAATGTATTTCCTTAGGCTTTTTTTTTTTTTTTTTTTTTATCTTGGAAGCTCTTTATTTGACCTTGTATTTTGAATGATAGCATTGCTGGGTAGAGTAGTCTTGGATTCAGATCTTTGTTTTTCATGACCTTGATTACCTCATGCCATTCCCTTCTGGCCTGTAGTGTTTCTGTTGAGAAGTCAGCTGATAGCCTTATGGGGTTTCTTTTATAGGTAACCTGTTGCTTATCTCTTGCTGCCTTTAGGATTCTCTCTTTGTCTTTAATTTTTGGGATTTCAATTACTGTGTCTTGCGTGGTCCTGTTTGGGTTCTTCTTACTTGGGGCTCTCTGTGCTTCTTGAACTTGAATGCCTTCTTCCATCACCAAATTAGGGAGGTTTTCTGTCAGTATTTCTTCAAATATATTTTCTAACCCTTGCTCATTTTTTTATTCTTCAGGTACTCCTATAATGCGAATATTATTACGTTTCCAGTTGTCTCACAGTTCTCTTAAGCTGTCTTCCTGTTTTTTAGTTGTTTTTCCTTTTTGGTTTTCTGATTGGTTGATTTTTTTCTACCCTGTCTTGTAATCTTCTAATTCACTGATCCAGTCCTCAGCTTCCTGTACTCTACTATTTAGTCCTTCCAGTGTGTTCTTTATTTTTCTATGTCATTCTTCATTTCTTGGTGGTTTTTAATTTCCAGTTGGTTGATTTTCAATGTTTCTATGTCTTTACTCATGGTGTTGATGTTCTTACGCATGCTGTTGACCTTCCTCAAGATCATGGCTCTGAATTCTAGCTCTGTTAACTTGCTTAACTGGGTTTTATTTATCTCATCTTTCACTTGGTATTTGTTTCTTTGTTTCACCATTTTGGCTATCTCAGTGGGTTTTGGAGCCTGCCAAATTTTCCCTGTGGGTGTTGGTGTTCTGCTGTTTGTGGCTCTCTCTACTGGGTTTGGATGAGCCAGGGAGGACCCACGTTAAACACTCCTGTTAAGTCTTACTTTCCTGGGTAGAGTTGCAAGCCCAGGAAAGGTTCAGTTATCCTCTAGCTTTTTGCCTGGTAGCTATTAGTCATGGTAACTTAAAGAGCCTTGGATCCTCAATTGACTGAAAAACTCCCTCAGGTATTCAGTATAAGGGGATTTCCTAAGGGTGGGGAAGATGCAGGTTGTTAATGGGCCTCAGTTTGCATTTCAATGGCCCAACGGTGGGTTTGAATGTTCTAGGAAGGAGCCACTGCCTCTCCCCACTGCCCTGGGATGGAGTAAGATGACTATAGTCCTGGGTGGCCGCAACTCAGCAAAAGCTCTGAGTGCCCTCCAAATCCCAAGTGTCCCCACACCATTTCAGTCCATGATCTGATTGTGTGGGAAATATGAGACAACCCAAAATTCAGCGAAACAGCTGGCTTGTACTCTTTTCAGAGTCACTGTTGTGAATTATAAAGACAAAAACTTTTCCAGATTAAGAGAAACCAAAGAAACTAACAGTTAAATGTAATGCATGATCCTGGATTATACCCTGACAGGGAAGGGGGGTGGGGTATTATGAAGGATGTTGTTGGCAAAATTAAGTATGAACTGTAGATTAGGTTGTAGTATTGTAGCAATGTTAAACTTCCTGAATTGATAAATGTACTGTGGTCATGAAGTGGTCTTGTTTTTAGGAAATAACACTCAGGTATTTGAGGGTAAGAGGTGTTAATGTCTGCAACCTACTGAAATAGTTCAGCAATAACTAAGTGTAATAATAAATTGTGTGTGTGTGTGTATTTGTATTATAACATTAAATATTAAGTGAATACAGGTGAAGAGTATATAGAGGCTATTTGTACAATTCTTGTAATATTTTTGTAAGTTTCAAATAAGTTAAAAATAAGTCAACTTTGAGTCTGTTTCTATTAAGTTCATTCATTTACATTGTTCTTTAGATTTTACATATAAGTGAAATCATATGGTCAGTCTTTTGTTTTTTATACTGAAGTTTTCTCTTCATTAATATAATAGAATCTCACAGCAGATTCCTTTAAGAAAATCAGGTAGAGTCCTAGGATATAATTCATTGCCTCTTACATTATTCCTTAAATATTACCAACTTAAGTTTTTTTTAGCACAGAACAAAAAACTGGTTTTCTCCAAAATTTGGATCGACTGTTATAAAGTGCCTTCAATTCTAGCAGCCATCTAATGTTGGTGATAAATTTGGAATAATGTCTGTGACTGCCTTCTTAGGTCTGGATCTGGGAGAATTTTTATGCCAATTTTAGGTTTCTTTAATTAGAATTTTTTTCTTTTTAAAAGTATGTAGTAGATGAGGATATAAGTTTTTTCACAACTAGTTCTTTCTAAAGTCAGATTTATATACTACTTGTATTCTGATGCCTTTGTAAGTGACAGACACCCAAAACAAAATGACATTCTATAAATGGAAACTTTTATTTAATACAGTAAATATGGAGGTAAGAGTTGATTAATTGGTTAGTTAATTCAGTGCTTCAGGAACATCATCAGGGAGCCCTGGGTCTTTATGTGTTTCTGCCTACCATTCCCAATGTCTTTTAGGCTGATACTCTTCATGGTTACAAATGTCTGTTGCTATTCTTAGAGGTCTGATATAGTTGATAATATATAGAGACGCACAGGAAAATCTTCTGGTTTTTCTTAAGAGCAAGAAGAACATTCCCAGAATTACCCCAGCAGATATTTCCGTAATTGTTCATTGTCTTCCAGAGACTGGCAACGAAAATAGAATTATCATGATTTGACTTATTCTAATCAAGCATCATTCCATGGGCTAAAGCACAAAACCTTCTAATAACTGAAGAAAATTTGGTGTTCCATTGGAAAAGGAAAATGGTATTGGTTTGGGAACTAACAGTTATTTTATATTAAATATTGTAAGTTTTGTCAGATATCCCTGGGAACACAGAAACCAGGGCCATACCTACAAACTGCCTCAGTGAGATATTTTCTAAAACTATCTTCATTATTCCATATTATTGTGCACACTGAAGAAAATTAAAATTTTTTTTAATTAAAAATTTTAAATTTAAAATCATTCACTGACAGTATAAGATATAAAAGCGTGTGACTTGAGTGAATATTTTTAAAGCATGGAAGATTTTTGTTATCTTCAGATTTGAAAGGGGACATACATACTTAGGTGGTTTTATGGGAAACATTGTTTCCTTTCGTTTTGACATAATTTTCAGCATCTTCTTTGATTTTATCCTCAGCAACACAGCAGGACACCTTTAAAAATAGAATGATTTACTGTCTCTAAACCAGGGAAGATAAAAAGATAACATTCAGAAAAATTGTATGCAGCATAAACTGCTGCTTTGGTTTTTATATTTGAGAGGAAATACTGCATATTTTTAGGGGATCACAATGAGGAAGCTGGTCACATTTCTCTTCCTCCTGAAATTTCATTATAATATACTCACGCTTAGCATAATGACGATGTTTTCATCACTGATGGACCACATATACGTTGATGGTCCCTTAACATTATAATGGAGCTAAATATTTTCTATCACCTGATAACATCGTAGCCATCTGAACATTGTAGCACAATTCATTATTTATGTGTTTGTGGTGATGCTGGTGTTAAAAATCCCACTGTGCTGCCAGTCATATAAAGGTATACCACATACAATTATGCATAGTACATAATACTTGATAATGATAGTAAACAAATATGTTACTGGTTTATAGTTTAGTACTTACTTTACTACACTTTTTATTATTTTACAGTATATTCTTTCTACTTATTAAAAAAGTTTGCTGGCCCTGGCCGGTTTTGTTAAGTGGTTAGAGCATTGTCCCGCGGTCCAGAGAGACCCGGATTTGGTTCCTGCTAAGGGCACGTACTTCGGTTGTGGTTTTTCCCTGGCCCTGGTTGGTCGTGCGGGTGGCAGCCACTTGATGTGTCCCTTTCACATCGATGTTTCTCTCTCTCTTTCTCTCTCTCTCACTCTCTCTCTCTCTTCCCTCTCTCCCTCCCGTTCTATCTGAACATAAAATGGAAAAATGTCCTCGGGTGAGGATAAAAAAAAATAAGGAAGTTTACTGTAAAACTGTACAACACGAAGATGTCATGTTACTACATCTTTTGTTTACTGCATCTCTTGATTATATCATTTTTCTTATCCTTCATTTCATCTCCTGTTATTTTGTCGTTATGGCCTCGAAGTGTACAAAATCCACTATTAATGTTGCCACTAGGAGGCCACATTGAGAGATTGACCAGGAAATGGAATTAAGAGTGATTAAAGATTATGAACGTGGAAAATCACTGATGGCTTTTGCTTGCCAGTCAGGCATGTCCCAGTCCACCATTACCATGATCCTGAAGAACAACAACAAATGGACAGAAGCTGTAAAAGATCTGTTTCATTGAAGGCAATGAGACTAACAGAAATTTGTCCTGGCCAGTTTGGCTCAGTGGTTAGAGTGTCGGCCCGCGGACCAGAGAGTCCCGGGTTTGGTTCCTTCTAAGAGCGTGTACCTTGGTTGCAGTTGTGGGGTCATGTAGGTAGCAACCACTTGATGTGTCTCTCTCACTTCGATGTTTCTCTCTCTCTCTTTCCTCCTCTCTCCCTCCTGCTCTATCTGAAGATAAATGCAAAAATGTCCTTGGGTGAGGATTAAAAAAAAAGAGAGACTAGCAGAAATTTGAGAAGGGCTATATTAGACATGGAGAAATTTCTAATGACCTGGATTGAAGACCAGACACAGAAGCATAACCCTTTCAGAACCAGGATTACAAGGCCAAAACAAAAAGTTTGTTTGTGACATTGAAAGAAAAGGCTGGACCTGACTACAATGTTGAGTTTACCTCTAGATCTGAGCGGTTTAACTGATTCAAGAATCATTATTCATCACGTAATGGGAAGGTGAGTGGTGAGTCTGCAATTGATGTGAAGGCAGCTGAAGAACTTTTGGAAAATATAGATAAGCTGATTGTGGAGGAAAATTACTTGCCAGAGCAGATACTCCATATGCATGAAACCTCCTGATTATGGAAATAGATGCATGAAAAGACTTTCATCCATAAGGGGGCCAAGTCAGAGCCAAGTTTCAAGACTTTTTTTTTTCTTTTAAATTTTATCTTTATTGGTGAATGTATCACAGATGTCCCCCTTTTACCCCCCACGAGCCCCTCTTCCCCACTCCCGCCCCCCTCTTGCCTTCCCCACACTATTGTCTGTGTCCATTAGTTATGCATATATAGATATAAGTTCTTTGGTTTATCTCTTCCCTTCCCACCTGACCCCTTTGAGGTTCGTCAACCTAACAACCAATTTGTGCTTCGTAATCCCTTCACCTTTTTCATCCGTCCCCTAAACCTCCTCTCATCTGGCAACTAACAAATAGTTCTCTGTATCTATGAGTCTATTTCTGTTCTGCTTGCTCGTTTTGTTTGTAGATTCAATTACCAATAGATATGTATTCATTGCCATTTTATTGTTCATATTTTTGTTCTTCATATTCAAGAAGACCCTTCAACGTTTCATATAATATTGGTTTGGTGGTGATGAACTCCTATAGCTTTTTCTTGTCTGGGAAACTATATGGTCATCAATTCTAAATAATAGCTTTGCCAGATAGAGTAATCTTGGTTGTAGGTCCTTGCTATTCATCACTTTAAATATTTCTTGCCATTCCCTTCTAGTCTGCAAAGTTTCTTTTGAGAAACCGGCTGACAGTCTTATGGAAACTCCTTTGTAGGTAAATAACTGCTTTTCTCTTGCTGCTTTTAAGATTGTTTCTTTGTCTTTAACCTTTTGCATTTTGATTATGATGTGTCTTGGTGTGGGCCTCCCTGGGTTCATCTCATGGGACTAACTCTGTGCATGTCTGTTTCCTTCACCAAGTTAGGGAAGTTTTCTGTCATTATTTTTTCAAATAGGTTTTCAATTTCATGTGCTCCCTCTTCTCCTTCTGGCACCCCCATGATGCGAATGTTGGTACACTTAAAGTTGTCCCAGAGGCTCCATACACTATCCCCATTTTTTTTGGATTCTTTTTTTTTTTCCCTGTTCTGACTGGGTTTGTTTTGCTTCCTTATATTCTATAAATTATTTTCTTATAAATTCTTATAAATTATTTTTTATTTCAGTTAGTGCGTCCTTCATTTCTGATTTTTTTTTAATGCTCTTGAGGTCCTCACTAAGTTCCTTGATGTTCTAAGTTCATTGAGCATCCTTATAAGCAGTGTTTTGAACTCTGCATCTGTCAGATTGCTTATCTCCATTTCATTTAGTTATTTTCCTGGAGTTTTGTTGTGTTCTTTCATTTGGGACCGGTTTCTTTGTCCCCTCATTTTGGCTACCTCCCTGTGTTTGTTTCTTTGTATTAGGTAGAGTTGCTATGCCTCCTAGGCTTCCTAAAGTAGCCTGTTGTAGTAGGTGTCTTGTATGGTCCAGTGGCACAGCCTCCCTGTTCACCCCAGCTGGTCCCACGAGGTGCACCCTTCATGTGGACTGTACTCTCTTCTGTTCTACTTGAGTCTTGATTGTTGTTGGCACATCAATGGGAGGGATTTACTCAGGCTGATCAGCTGCAAGGACTGGGTGTGCCCACTGACCACCAACCTCTGCCTATCTTGGAGGATCAGCTATGCAGGAGCCCACCACATAGAGCAAGCTTTACTTCAGCAAGGCTCTGGTACCCACTGAGTCCACTCCTTGAGTGTGGCACTTGTGGAGGTGGTAGTGCTTCGATGTGGTCTGAAGCTGTCCACGGGGTGTGCTGGCTCTGGGGCAAAGTCAGCCACTCCCTCTGTTCTACCTGGGGTCACCAGGCATAAGCTCCAAAGCTATGTGCAGATGACTTGGAGGTGCCCAGGCAAAGACAAGCTGTGAACCAAGGCTGGCTGCTTTTAGTGCCAGGCCTGGGGCCGATTAACAAGAGGTATGGGGCTCGCTGAGGCCAGATGCTGCTTGTTTGAGAGAACATAGGAAAATCTGACACAGGAGCCAAGACAGACCAATCCTATGGTAAAGCCACTGGGAACATCTTGGGTGGACCCAGAAGTTGGGTGGGGCAAGGCCTCAGGGAATTACGTGGGCAGAGAAAACTGTGAGCCTGGTTGTTGGAGTCCCAGATATGGCGGCCATCTGCCAGGCCCATAGGGGAAGGGCTCACCAAAGGAACAAAGGCCTCCATCAGCACGGCTGTTCGGGAGAAAGCTGCCTCTCCAGCTTTTGCCCTGATGCCAAACAACCCAGTTCTTCCCCGTATGTCTTTGGTGCTTTTCAAGCTGCCTCCCCCACGTTGGGGCCTGGAGAGAGCAAGTCCGAGTAAGTCCCTGTGTGGATGCTTTAAGAGGAGCTGCCTGGGGCTCCAGCAGCCACAGCCTCCCTCAGCCTCAGTTCCCACTGGTTTTTACAGCCAGACATTATGGGATTTCTCTTCCTGGTATTGGAACCCTGAGGCAGGTGCCTGGTGTAAGATGGGGACCCCTCACTCCTTAGGGAGGAGCTTCCCAGCCCAGATAGTATCCACCGTACATGGGTATGGGACCAGCCCTTCCGTGCCTCCATCCTTCCTACTAGTCTCACTGTGGCTTCTTTAATTTTGTAGTTGTAGGAGTTCATTCAGCTCAATCTCAGGTGATTCTGAATGATGGTTGTTCTGTAGTTTAGTTGTAATTTTGATGTGGTTGGAGGTGAGTACCGCGTTTACTAATGCTACCATTTTGACCGGAAGTATTTCAGGTTTCAAGGCTTTTTTTTTTTTTTTTTAATCCTCACCCAAGGACATTTTTGCATTTATCTTCAGATAGAGCAGGAGGGAGAGAGGGGGAAGAAAGAAAGAAAGAAAGAGAGAAACATTGATGTGAGAGAGACACATAGACTGGCTGCCACCCACACGACCCCAACCGGGGCTGGGGACACACTGCATCTGAGGTACATGCCCTTAGCGGGAACCGAACCTGGAACTCTCTGGTCTTTGGGCCGATGCTGTAACTGCTGAGCCAAACCAGCCAGGCCATGGGTTTCAAGGCTTTTAAGGACAGGGTAACAGTCGTTTGGGGCCATGTTGCAGGCCACAAATGGAAACCCTTTGTGGTCTTGCACAGTGAGAACCCTGAGGCCTCCAAGCAGATCAGTAAGCACTCACTGCCATTGTACTACAGGAGCAATAAGAAGTTATGGATGACCCAGTTCCTCTTGCTCAATGTCCTCCTGAACTGCTAGGTCAGTGAAATAGAGATGTACTGTTAGGTTAATAAGATACCTTTCAAGATTTTGCTTAGTGATAATGCTCCTAGACATCCTTCTTTTCTTGGTGATCATCATCCCAATATCAAAGTGGTGTTTTTCTCTCCAGACACCACCTCTTTGATCCAACCAATGGACCAGGAGTTGTAGCAGCTTTTATTTATTTATTTTATTTTATTTATTTTTTTTATCCTCACCCGAGGACACTTTTTTGCATTTATCTTCAGATAGAGCATGAGGGAGAGAGGGAGGAAGAGAGAGAGAGAGAGAGAGAGAAACATTGATGCGAGAGAGACACCTCAAGTGGTTGTCACCCACAGGACCCCAACTGGGGCCGGGGACAAACTGCAAATGAGGTACATGCCCTTAGTGGGAACCAAACGCGGGACTCTCTGATCTGCAGGCTGATGCTCTAACCGCTGAGCCAAACCGGCCAGGGCAACTTTTTTTTTTTTTTATTAATTAATTAATTTCTTTATTTTTGTTACAGATGTTTCTCCTTTCCCCCCACTGATTCCCCCCTCCCTCCCCTGCCCTGTCCCCAGCTTTGTTGTCCATGTCCATTGTTCAGGCATACATGCATATAAGTTCTGTGGTTTGTCTCCCCCCAATACCCCCTCTTCTGGAGATTGTCAGTCTATACCGCACTTCCACGTCTCTGGGACTACCCCATTCCTCAGACTGTTATGTTCATTATATTCCACAAATAAGAGAGATCATATGATACTTGTCTTTCTCTGCTTGGCTTATTTTGCTTAAGATAATACTTTCCAGGTCCCTCCATGTCGTCTCAAAGGATAACAAGTCTTTCTTTCTTACAGCTGCATAGTACTTCGTTGTGTATATGTACCACAGCCTTTTAATCCATTCGTCTACTGATGGACATTTGGGCTGTTTCCAGATCTTAGCTATTGTAAATAGTGCTGCTACGAACATGGGGGTACATATATTCTTTCTGATTGCTGTTTCAGGCTTCTTAGTGTATATTCCTAGAAGTGGGATCACTGGGTCAAATGGCAGTTCATTTTTAATTTTTTGAGGTAACACCATATTGTTTTTTATAGTGGCTGTACCAGTCTGTATTCCCACCAGCAGTGTACTAGACTCCATTTTTCTCCACACCCTCGCCAACATTTGTTGTTTTATGATTTGTTGATGGCGGCCATTCTGACAGGTGTGAGGTGATACCTCATTGTTGTATTAATTTGCATCTCTCTGATGATTAGTGATGTTGATAATTTCTTCATATGTCTCTTAGCCATTTGTATGTCCTGTTTGGAAAGGTGTCTGTTTAGTTCCTCTGCCCATTTTTTAGTTGGGTTCTTTGTCTTCCTTTTGTTGAGTTGTATGAGCACTCTATATATATTGGAAATTAACCCCTTATCTGATATATTATTGGCAGTTATGATCTCTCATACACTGGGTTGCGTCCAGGGCAACTTTTAAGGCCTATTCCCTGAGGAGGATCTTTGCTCAGCATATTGCTGCAACTGAGGAGACACTGATGCAGTTCTGGAAAGATCACAACATCCATGACTCCATCCAGAGCCTTATTTGGGCTTGGATGATGTCATCAGGGAGTGTATGAATAGTATCTGGATGGAGAAACTCAGGAGGTTTGTCCCTGACTTCAAGAGACTTGCCAAGGATGAGAGGTTGCAAAACTC